CTGGGGCAGCACTGCTGACGTGCAAGCAACGCAAAAAGGTGAGTCAGGCCGCACTGCCAGCACGCTTGCAATGCAAGGAGGTGACTGCGACTGCAGTGCCGATGCACGCAAGCCACAGGAGAAGGCAACTGGGATGGCACTGCCATCACACAACAAGCAACGCAAGGAGATGACTGAGCCTGTAGAGGCAGCACACGCAAACCACGCAAGGAGGTGATCGCAACCGCACTGCCAATGCATGCACGCATGGCACGGAGGCGGCTTCAATTGCAGTGCCGATGCATTCAAGCCCCAGGAGAAGGTGATCGAAACTGCACTGCTCACACACACCCCGGCAGTGCAAAGCAGCAACTGACCATAGTGCCAGCACGGGCGAGCCACCTACGGGGGCACCTCGGATGGCTCCACTGACACACAAGAGCAGTGGGCAACAGGAGTCAGGAGAGCCGTGCCAACGCAAGCAAGGAACGCATGGAGGCAACTCTCATTACAGACACAACACACACAAACCATGGGCAAAAGCAACTGGGACGGCACTGCCGACACGCACAAGCGCGATGGCAGTGCCAACACATGCAAACGACGCAAGGAGGTGATTACAACTGCGCTGCCAACACACAACAGCAAAGGAAGCAGCTCAGATTACAGTGCCGACAGATGCAAACCATGTCCCCGGCAACTAGGACAGCACGGCCGGCACACTGAAGCAGTGCAAGGATGCAACTCTTATTATAATGCCTGACACATGCAAGCCACGGGAGGTGATCACAACTGCACTGCTGGCACATGCAAGCAATGCAAGATGATTGTAGCGTCAATGCATGCAAGCCACTTAGGCAGGCAATTGCAACTGGACTGCCAACTCATGCAAGCAATGCAAGGAGACAATTCTCATTGTAGACAACACATACAAGCCATGGGTAACAGCAGCCTGGACGGCACTACCAAAACACAAATGCAATGAAAGAAGTCACGTCTGACTATAGTGTCCAATACACACAAGCCATAGGATATGGTGATCGCAACTGCACTGCCAACACAAGCAAGCAATTCAAAGAGGTGGCCGCAATTCTAGTGTCAACGTATGCAAGCCACACAAGGAGGCGACGGCAACTGCACTGCCACGCCAGGCGGCAACTCCGGTTCCAGAGACACCGGCGGGAAAAAAAGCGGCTGGGGCGGCAGCGCCAACACCCGCACGCAATGCCAGGCGGCGACTGGGCCACCACCGCTGGCACACGGCGGCAACAGAAACAAGCCAGCCGGCCCACGCCAAACCCACGCAGGACAACGACGACTCGGGGGGGGGGGGGGGGAGCGAGACCGCCCGCGCGCGTCAGCTATGGGAGAAAGCGAGGGGGACGGCGCTGCCCAGAGGCAACGCGGGGCGGGGAGGGCGCTGAGGGGCCGCTGGAGGCCGCAGCGGCGGGGGAGCGAAGCCCGTCCCCGCCTTCGCCTTCTTCGCCTTCGCCTCCCCCCTTCCCCCGGCCCCCGGCGGCGGCACACTGACCTGTGACACTGGCCTGGGCCACCCGCTGGACGACGGCCTTCATGGTGGCGCGGCCGCGCAGCGCAGGCCCGGCGCCGGTGCGGGGAGGGGGCGAGGGGAAAGGCGGGCGGCGGCGCTAGGCAACGGCGGCCGCTCCCCGTCCTCCCGCGCCGCTCACAGCGCCCCCTGGCGCCTGGGAGGTGCTGTCGCAGCACCACCTCCTCCCGCCGCGGGGGCGTGCACAGCATAGCGGCCTTGTAGGGGCTTCCCCTATAGGAAGCCTCTATAGAAAAGGGAGGCGGAGTGTCTACAAACGTGCGGGGGGGGGGGTTCCCTTGCTCTGAAGGGAGTTGGTGCCTATATGGTCTTTGGAGGCAGGGGGCGCCTACAGACAGCAAAAGCGGGTAACCAGGGCGGCATCCTCTATAGGTATGGCTATAGGGGTACAGGTGGGTGCCCATAAATATTAGCAGCTAGGAGGAGCCTTCTGGAAAAGGAGGTGGAGGGAGCAGAAGAGCCCGTGTAGAAAGGTAGGTCTGTAAGCGCATGGGCTGGGGCTCATGATATAAAAGCTCCTACAGAAGCAGGGCGGGGTTTGGGCAGAGGGGCTGGAGACAGCTTCCTATATAGCAATGTGGTGTCTGTAGGGACTGTGAGGAGACCTTACAGAGACCAGCAGAGGGGCAGGGTGGTGGGGATTCTAGAAAAGGCCACAGACAGCGGGCAGCCCCTGCAGAAAAAGGGAGGTGTCTGCAGGGGCAGAGGGAAGCCCCTATAGAAAGGAAGGTCTGCTTGTGCGGGGTCTCAGGGCAGCTTTGTCTGAAGGGAGATCGTGCCTATAGGGACTGGGGGAAGCCCCCTGTAGGAAGCAGGGGCTGGGGGAAGACTTCTAGAAGTGGACATGGTATCTGCAGAAAGCCCCTATAGCAATGAGGGTCAGCAGTGACGAGAAGCTGGGGGAAACACTTCTAGAAAACAGTAGACAGGAGCAGCTTACTGTGAAAGGTGATATCCATAAGGACTAGGGAAAACCCTTTAGAATGAGTTAGTGATGGTGACAGCAGCTGGGGGGCAGTACCCTACCAGGGGAGGTGACATGTATAAGGATCAGGGAAACTCCGATAGAAACAGGAGCCTGGTACAGGCCTGGAGCAGAAAACTTAGTAAATTTTCAGTTTACGGTAGCATTTCTGCACATGTAATTCATCTCCCGTAACCTTTTATTTGAATAATGATTAACAAGTCTTGTACTTGAAAGACTATATTATGTTCCCTCCCCTTTTGCTCATTGTCCTTAAAGTATGTGTTTCAGACCTGATCAGTTGAGGAGCCATTCCGGGTACACCCTGCACACCAGCGTGGAAACCAACTTCACAAAAAAGCTGCCATGGCCAACTGGTCAGACCACAGGACACCAGGCAGCACGCAGATTCATTAACATCTCACAACATGCCCAGTTGAACACAGCTCATGTTTAGTAATTTGAATACGCGTGCAAAGAACAGCAATGATCTGAGCAGACGAGAAGGTTTTCAAGTTCTGTGAGCTTGTGTCAGAGATGGAACCATCGTTTCAGCAATGCAAGACAATGTTTTCCATGGACGGTCCAGTGCCAGAATGACTTTCTCAGCAAAGCCAACTCCAGTACAAAGTTCTGAGAAACTGGATCACTCAATTTTCGGAAGGAGGGCTGTGGTTAGAATCAAAGAATGATTTCACACGCCACATCAGTCGAGTAATAGGAGGCTGAACATCTCTGTATGTTGCCACTGTTGTCATTTTGAGTCCTAAACCCATTTCTCTAGTGGATACTTCCCTGTGGGTTCCTTGGTTTGTCTGAGGATCACTTCCATTCTCTAAGGAATAAGGAGGGTAAGGGGAGAAAAAAAAGACAAAGAGCATAGCAATAAAAATGTCTTACCCCTTCATCATGGCAAAACATATGTATTCAGTTTTATTTTTGCTTTTTCTCAAATTCTGAGAATAGCAGAGATCTGGTGACTCTGTACACAGAAAACGTGATTTACTAGAGTAAATTGGGTGGCTGCACTGGTACTGGACTAGTATCAGTACTACAGTAGCAGCAGTAACAACTAGTTTCCAAGTTATCCACATCACAGTTACCTCCATGTAACGACACATTAATAAGCAGCAGGCTTCCTACAGAATATATATATTCTTATAAATTATTTTATTTGGAAGGGACCTACAATCTAGACCAACTGCCTGACCAATTCAGGCCTGACCAAAAGTTAAAGCCTGTTAAGGTCACTATCCAAACGCCTCAAACACTGACAGGCTTGGGGCACCGACCACCTCTCCAGGAAGCCTGTCCCAGCGTTTGACCACCCTCTGGGTAAATAAATGCTTCCTAATGTCCTATCTAAACCTCCCCAGGCGTAGCTCTGAACTATTCCCATAGAGTTGGGAAGGGTCTAGACCCTGTTCCTGTCACCAGAGACAAAACACATGCTCTTCCCACCAACGTGGGCCCTGCCCTCCTTCAAGGTGAAACGCCTGGGGATGCCAGGAGGCGCTGGGCGCCCACCGAGCCTGCCTCGGGTGGCCCCGCCGCCCCCTCACAGCTCCGGCGCGAAGCCCTCGCACCCGGCAGCCAGGCAGCCCCGAGGCTCAGGCAGCCCCGAGGCTCAGGCAGCCCCGAGGCTCAGGCAGCCACGCTACCGCGGCAGCCCCGCGCAGGCAGCGCCCCCCTTGCCCTGCCGCGGGGTGGCGGGGTCCCCACAGCCGGCAGCGCCCTTCCCCCGCGCCCCGCCCGGCGCCTCCCCCAGCCACACCCCGCCGAGCGGCCCCCAGGCCCGTACCGGGCCCGCCGCCGCTCTCTCCCTCGCCGCCGCCGGAGCTGTAGTACAGCATGGCCCCCAGCATGGTCCAGCCGCCCATCGAGTACAGCAGCGCGGCCCGCGCGTTCCACACCGCGGCCCACATCGCCCTCAGCAGCGACCGCGGCCTGTCCCTGCCGCGACAGCGCCGGTGCGCGCCTGCGCCCTGGCTGCGGGGCGGGAACAAGCCGGGGGGGGGGGGTGTCCGCCGCCATTACGGGTGGGGTGTTCTCTTGGGGAGCGGGGAAGGAAGAGGGGCGAGCGGGCGGCACGGCGGCGGCCGCGGGGTGAGGCGCTTCAGGCCGGCCCCTGTTCGGAACGGCTTTGTGGAGGGGCAGAGCCTGAGGTAGCAGCCGCTGCATCGCTGCCTTCCTGGCGGTTTTCAAGGCCATTAACGCTGTGCTGAAGTGAGAAGAGGGAGGGGGCCGGCCGCCAGGCCCTGCGTCCAGCTGCCCCAGAGGCAGAGCTTCAGCCGGGGCGAAGCACGGGGGTGTCGGTTGTGCCCCCTCCCGGCGTCTGTCCAAGCATTCTCCACCATCTAGTACTTGTTCTGCACTGTGTAGCCTTGAGGTGCTCCTCAAAATTACTTCCAATAGCCATGTACACACCCCAGTGTTACATTTTCAAAAAGGAAAAGGAGGTAGGCTGGTTCCATTGCACAGACAGCTGAATTGGGGATAGCACTAAATAGTAATGCTCTTACCCAGTTTTAATTTTCATTAATACAGTCCCTCGTTGCTAAAAGATACCATTTAAGAACACACAACATTAAAACTTCAGCTAAAGACTGTTAAAATCTATATTGGCTAAAACATCCTTTAGCTCTAATTACAATATATGAAAAATGTAAACAGAATACAGATGAAAAGGAATACAAATAAATTAATATCTAGAAGGACCAAGTAAAAAACTCTCCTTGAAGATTTATTTCATTTCATACTTAAAAACTTTAGGCTAAGAAAGAGAGAAGGAAATGTAAATAATTGCTCCACTTCTGTCACCAACATGATCTATGTAACTTCTGTTCTTGCTTCTCAGTTTGATCAAAGTCACGAGGCACTTGAAACTGCCAGCTTTTTTAGATGGTCCATGAATACCTGGAGACTAACATCATCTGTCAAGATTGGAGCTCCCGATTCCTGCAGAAAAATAAAGAAATAAAGCGCCTAAAATAGTGGCATTATCACTGGGTACTAACTGAAAGCCAATCACATGTCAGCACTCTGAACTAACTCCCTGCTAAATCAACCGCCTGTTTTCCGGCAAAGGACAGGTATCTAGTTTAAAGATGCTACTCTCTGGCAGCAGCACTGACACTATCCTCTAGTGCAATCTGAACTACTGGAAAAATAGAGCCTCTTCTTTCCAAAGCATCAGGAATTTTGCTGCCCAAAGCTCTACACAAACGACATGCAAGTCTAGTATTCTCAGATAAATTAGATCTATATGTATTCATATGATAGTTACTTTTTCCAAAATACTAAATACACTGTGACCTAAGAGTTTTAAATCACATTTGTAGGGAAGGGTGACGATAAATTTCCACATCAAATTAGCTGCTTCCTTCAACAGCAGCCACCACAGAAAGCTCTCCTGGTCTGTGTGTGCCCCACATGTAGCTGAGATACAGGACGGGAGATCAAAGGGGCAAAGCACTCCTTGTGGAGACCACTCATCTCTTGCCATCAAGCTGCTGTGGTACTGAGCTGTTGTGGCAGCACATCCATTTTTGACAGCCATTCCTTGGATCCATTGAGAAAAAGTCCCAAATTCAACTGGATTTTGCTGAAAATTTGGGGAGATTCAGTACAAGAACAGGAAAACAAGTCGTCCAGCCTTGAAAGCAGTATTCTGATCATCTTGTCATGTAGTGCTCCCCATAGTACTGTTTATTTTATCAACAACCATGGACTTGAATAAAAATCTAACCTGCCTATGCTTTAGAGACAAATCTATAGATAAATCAGTTGTGTCTTTTAAAATGCTACAACTATTGCAGCTGGTAATTCCATTATCAGATCCTTTGGTACATAAAAATAACCTTGTTTCCTTCCATTGGAAAGCACCATAAGATTTTCAAATCCAGTGACAAATGTCTGTAAAAAAGCTTAGGTAAGAAACAGAGGGCAAATGTGATCTGCTCACAGTTTGTGGCCATGTGTTGAAACAGGATGGCTACTGCATAGGCAAATACATAAAAGTACAATTTACAACCTTCCCAAACATGAGCAGCTCTTCCATTGCTTACCTGTCCCCATGCATAGAGGTTATTGTGGGTCTGAGAAGGGTTCACTTTAGACAAGAGGAACCGGGCCTATTAAGACAAAACATTAGAGAAGTTGTTTTGTAAAATGACAGACTCGCCAGCTCCCTTAAGATTTCTTACCGCCTTAGATACATGACTAGTGATGTTCCTCTGCTTTTGCAAGGCAGGTGCTAATTTAACTTAAACAGGTTCCATGTCCAGAAACAGCCCTGCTCCACAGACAGCTTGTCTCCAAGGGGCACAGAGTGCTCTGCTACAGCAAGCAGCGCTCACCTGGCAGGGTAGCTCTGGTTCCATGCAACACGGGCATGTCACCAGCACTGTCCCTTGCATGCCCCTGTCCGCTCTTCAGAAAAAAGGTCAGTGGAGGACCAGTGTAATGTGGTCACATCAAAAATTAATACCAAATCTTTGGTTTGGACCACCGATTCCTGCCTCTTCGCTGCTACAAACAAGCCAGGCACAGACAAGCACAGCATAACTGCAATTCCAGGAAGAGCAAAAATAGAAACTATTTTATATCCTCATTCAGCATTAGAGAATAAAGGAACAGATGGTCAATCTTCAGTGTAACTTACTGTCCTAGCAAGCTAACTGCACTCCCTGTCTCAGGTAAGTTTAGATACATAGCCAAATAATTCCTTTCCCACTTCTTTGGGGAATAAAATGATATTTAAGCCGGCTTTTTTTTTTTTTTCCATCCTTGTATTTCAAAAGCATATCCAGCAAGTGATTGGCTTATTAAAAGATAAAGTTGTAGTAAAAGCTCATGAGAAAATATGCAAACTCTGTACTTTGAAGAGCTAAATTAGCACTGTATTTAACTTACAGAACCATCCTGTTAATAAGCAGAAAGACAGCTGTTTGCTCTATTCGACAACAGAGTTCCTCAATAAACGTCCTTACCTGACTGCCCCCATGTTCAGTGTGGATGTAACGCGGCATTGGGAATCTAGTCTGCAAGATTTCCTGGGCGTCATCCAGTGGGGCTTGCAGTAGGTGCTTGAAGTTTTCATATTCAGGCATGTCTTGGTAACCAGCTTTCTGCCACTGTGCAATAGTCTATTGACAGGACAGGGAGGAAATTAAAAAACAGTAGAGGTGTCTGCAAACCTCCCCTTTTTAACCTTCATGTCTTAAGGCAGCAGAATGTTACATGTACTTCTGCTTACAGAGCACAGGTTAAATGCACACTTTAATTATTCTGGCAATAACATTATTTAGTTTCTGTCACGTTTAAGGACAGGCACTCAACACAAAAGCTCAGAGCAGTTTGTGCAGTGCAAGAGCAATTTGCTGAAAGTGATCTTCAAGCCTGTACCAACACAGAAACGCAAAGCATTTATAAATCACTGACATTTTGAATCTGACTTGGTCTTAAATTAAGCAGCCATTGCCTTACAGTATCTCCAAGGTAGCTAACCATATGTACCTAGCAATTGTTCTACACATATGCAGATGACACACTTAGCTCCTCCTTTGTCTAAATTTTACTCATTTGCTGAGTGTCTTGCTCTGCAACAACACGTAGAAATTATTTAAGGTAACTGGAAGATTTACTGTCATTGTTGCCTCAAGCTTCAACTCCTGTTCATGTCAATTGGGTATCCCTGATCACTTCTCAAAGGGAACAAATCCTACATGGAGTGAAGTCCCAATTTAATAACGGAGCTGCTGCAAACTACCATGCCAAACTTCAAACATTCTATTAACAGTCGTTAAGTATCAGTGAAGTAGCTTAGTTCAAAAACAAAGGGAAGAGTTAAAATGCCTCCCCAAAAAATTTCACTAATAGGAATTTCTGACCATAAACTAAAATGGGTTTATTTAAACTACTCCAATCTGATTCATTGTTTAGGTAGAAGGAACAGGATGGGGGGCCACTCCCCAAGCAGGACTATACAGGATATGAGGGGCAAAAAAAGGCATCAAAGAACAGGGAGATTTCCAGAGAAAGAAGTGGAAAGCCAGTTTCCTGACCCCATAAATACTTTAGGATGTGAGGCATTTCTATTATTCAGCTATGGTATCATACCACTCTTACAAAATATGACAGGACTGAAATACAGATCTACAGGTCTGCATACTGAAGAGGCACTGGAGAGCCAAGCCTTTGGATACTGATGTAAATCTGGATGTTTAGAAAGGGCCAGGACCTAAGCACTTACCTCAGTCACGATGAAAGGAATATAGAAGCAGCTGTCAAAACCATCCAGTATTTAAAAGCAAAAACCAGAAAAAAATCATAACTAAAGAGCAGCAGTATTTAGGTGTCAAAACCCAGCAACCAAGTATGTGACATGCCTGAAAAATCAAACTGCAGCTCTCTGCCCTGCTTAGTTTCAAGTTTCTCTGGCCTTTTCCTGGCATGGTAAGGGGTCACCTTCATTACCCTGTTAACATGACAGCTGTTGCTCAGTGTAGAACATAACAAACAAATCCTACTGGAGTTGCTAAGGGTAACTCAGACAGTGGCAAAATTGTATTAAAATTGGCAGCATGTATACGATGTCATTATAGTAGTGTGGGCTTTGCAAGCAGCTTATTTGATACTAACAGTGACGGTGTCTGCACGCATGGCAGGAGGGAGAGAGTGCAGAGAGAGAAAGAACATATTTCACTGTACCTCACCAAGGTAGATAACTATCTGGAAGAAGGTATCCATCAGTAGGATTCTGTCAGGAAGAATACTGCTGCTGTCCAAGAGCACCGGCTGGGGAAAATAAAGAAGAAAGTCAGGCACCCCTAAGCCTTCAGAGTTGGATCAGGCTTCATGGTTGGCCACAGCTTGCTCAGCCCTGCCTGTATAGACACAACTCCACCAACGGCTGCTCGGTCCACGTGAACGCCTCACAGAGTGCAGTCAGCCTCCTGCAGCACCCCTGAATGGAGCAGCAGGTTATCAGCTCCTGTATGAAGTGTAGGAGGCAACAGAGCAATTTCTATAGCTATCTAAGTTTAATTTGGAATGATCTTGAACAAAAGTATCTCAAGAATAAGAAGGAATAACACATGAACTCTGGCAAATGCTGCCAAGGCTTCAAAGTGTTACTCCAGCAGCTCCTGCGTTTCTTTCCTGCCAGACACACTCCTTTCAAGGAAGCTGTCAATATAAGGGAATCCATGTTTGTCCATTCAATTCTTGTACATAATTAAACACTGCTGCATAAACAACTGAAAACAAGCAGCTGGTGGGAGATTATGATCTGGAAGGGCTGAAGCTTGCTGATTTATGCAGTGGGGATGGCAGCCTCTGGCACAGAAGGAAAAGCAATACTGACAGCCACAAGGTTCACCAGATGTTGAGGGGCAGGGGCTGTGGCTTGGCCCGGGGGAAAGGGGGAGAAGGTTGGTTTGGGGTGTTTTTTTTTCGATCAAAGCTGAAAGCTTACTGAAAACACAATTCATATTTTACATTGCCCCATCTCATCCTTTAATAACTACCTTGATAAAAAGAATATATATATATAGGGGCCTTTTTGCTGAAATAGTGTAACTGACTGAATACTCATCATTTTGGAATGATCTACCTTTTCCTGTTAAACATGGACTCACCTCAGGAGGTCCATGGAAGGAATAAGCATAAAGGATAGGCTGGATCATAATGAGAGACTGGGTCAGATCTTGCCTAGCAAAGTGGTGACGGTAATAAGAAGATTCATCTGGACTGTTATTAAAGACCTGCAGGAATGGGGAGCGTCGCAGATGGAACATGAACTGCACCAGAAAGATGAGAAGAGAAATGTCAGCAAGTTGCCAAAACTTCTGCACCCAAGTATCCAAGTCCAATATTTCTGAACAGTGAATTCTTTGGAAAAAAGTCTACCCCTTATAAACTCCTCAGAGTTCTTCCCTTATCAGTCATTTGCAGCACGGAACTACAGGACCGACCATCCAACCAAATTAAAAAAAGCATCCACTCCTCCCCTCCTGAATCTGATAAATGGTACAAGATGTTTTATCATCACTGTCACTCACCCATGTACACTTCTCCTATGGCTGTGGGAAGTGAATTTCTTACCTGGGGATACAAAGAAAATGATTCTGACAATCTGAAGGAGTTGGGATCATCTTTGTTGTATTGTCCGAATTTCTGACACTGTTGGAAGCAAAATGGGTACTTTGGTTATCTATCTTTTTTTTTTTTAGAATTAACACTTCTCTTTTTTTGGGGGGGTGGGGTGGGGAGAGGGAGGGGGGCAGAGAAGAGGTCAGGTGTTCTTTTGGTTGTTTTTAAACAGAACAACCATGGCATGAACATGACAATAACAAGTAATAGAAAAGTTACAGGCTATTTTTCTTTACATCAGTGGTTCCTGTATCTTACTGGAATGAGAATGATGATTTGATCTATTTATTTATATATATATATTAAATCTAGCTAAGAATGAAAGACACAGTGCTTCTAGTACTACTCAATTTTTTCCATTAAATCAGGGATACTATGTTATACCTAAGCTACTTTGTACACCATGAAACATTTCTGCAGCAACTCTACTTCCTTCTAGAGCAGGAGCAGATTGGCATTTCACCAACTGCTTCACTGAAAATAAGAAGCATCAATGGTTTTTGCAATTTAACTACAAATGACTCCACAATCATTTCAGCATTCAGCGTGACTGTGGGTGTTTTGGTGCTCAAATCTTTACTTGATAGTGGCCCTGTTTTTTCGGTGTCTGGTGTGCCATATCTGTTAGGGTGTTTGGACAAAGCCAGAACTGACTTAGGCAATTCAGGCTTGTGAAATTTAAAGCAAGAGACAGTATGAAGTTGTGGAAGTGATTACTACCCTGAACTTGGCATCAGTGAGCCCACATCTGAATACTGTGTCCAGTTTTGTGCTCCTCGGTGCAAGACAGACATGGATGTACTGGAGTGAGTTTAGCAGAGGCCACCAAGCAGCTCAGGGGCTGGAGCACCTCATGTAGAGAGAGAGGCTGAAAAAGCTTTTTTTCATCAGCCTGATGAAGAGTGGGATGAGGGATTCATATCACTGTCTAGAGCTACCTCACAGGTAGCTGGAGAAATTTAAGTTCTGAGATGGCAGGGATGAGGAAGGGGAAGAAAAAAAGCAAAAATAAAAGGGAAAAATCACAGTGACTGTGATCAAACATTGGAACAGGTTGGCAAGAGAAGCAAGATAAACTCCATCTTTGGAGATCTTCAAAACTCAACCAAACAAGACCTGGAACAACCTGCTCTAATTTCAAAGTTGGTCCTACTTTGAGCAAGGAGTTGAAACAGAGACCCCCCACAGATCCCTTCCCACCTGCATTATTCTGTGTTTTGCTATCACTTCTTTAATCTCAGGTTTAACCCTTTCAGCACAATGGGATGTTTACCTACCCCATCACAAATTCGCTGATCATAGCGGCTTCTGAGCTATCACGTACTACAACTGTGTGACTGTGATCAGAGCACAAATGAAGCAAGTCAATCTGGAAAAAGAACACTGTTCTCATTTCCAGAGACCAATTTTACTAAAATCAAGAATGCACCCAACTGCAGTCTATTGGTCTTACCAGTCTGATCAGCTGCCTGTCCAGCCATCGCAGAACATCGGGTCCCTCCTCAGATTCAGCTCTGTACACTCCCAGTCGTGCCATCAACACAGCAGCTGCTTCCTGGTCAAACGCAGCTTCTATATGCTGGAGCTGACTCTGTGCATCTGCCCAACTACAGGTTTAGTAAAGGATTAGTGCTACATTCACCCAAAATGAAAGCAAACTCAAACCAGATTCATTCTCCCTGTGACAAATACTCTGCGGCCAATGTATGCAACAAGCAGCTAGTGAAATTCCAGCACAGATCGCAGCTTAACTTTCTGCTATTCTGCCAAAGAACTGGCACAGGATACTCACTTTCTGGCTATGGTGGTGACACGAATGCGCTTCTGTGTACTGGCGTGTTGATACTGAGTGACAAACTGCACTGCCCCTCTGCCTCCCTGAGGTATTGGCGCATTGTGCTGCAAAAGAAACGAGGAAAGCTTTCAAAATGGCCTGGCTTTTCCATAACTCCATACACTGCAGAGAACTCCAGGGCATCATTTGAGCAATCATAGAGTAAGTACAAGCTAGAGGGAGACCAGAGACGGACATCTGTTAGTGTTCTGTTTTCCAGCAGCCCTTGGAGTCAGGTGGTGTTGGGCCCATTTCATATTGGGCGTGACACTTCCTCAGCTTGTCCCTTGAAGTATGGCAGCAGCTTATCATCTCTATAGCAATGAACCTAAGAATGGCAGTACGAGGTCCGAGCAAAGGTCCAGTGAGTCCACCATCCTATTCACAACAGTAACAAGCCCACACAGCAGAGGAGACAGACACACACGTGGAACAGAATTCCTTCGGGGTAGTCTTCCTAGCTGCCACTTGCTCAGAAACTTCCCCAGACAAGTTACTTCTGAACCATCAAGTTATTACAACTCGGAGGAGCAATTCTCCAAGAATTTTAAGGTATTTATACTTTTATTCTCCACAGCACCTACTGGCAAAAAGACAATTTCTGCTTTGTTAAATAAATACTATAGGAAGAAGACAAGGAAAGAATGCAGGTTTTGTACAGAACAAGAATATTAAGCAATTTATGCATATGAAAACAGCCTCTGAGACTATTTCTTTGGCACAAAACATTTGGTTGCTTTGCAACCATCCATCTGCAACACAGGGGATATCACTGCTTTTTCTGTGTCTGTTAGAAACAAATAGTTTGGTTTGTAAACTGGCGGACGAAAAAAAAGGAGCCAGGACTGACCTGATTTACCACTTCAAAGTAAATGGCCAGAGTTGTGCTGGGATCCAGACTACAAATTTTCCATTGAGATGTTCCTCCAATACCAAGCTCCTGCACAGAATTAAAAAGAAAGCAGCATTTTTGTGTCTAGCAGCAGGTAAGGCAAACTTACGTTAAATTCTGATCAGAGGTACAAATTACAGCAAGCCTTCTAGACTTCCTATCTTTTGGGTATGAATGAAGTTACTGAAGGCCACACAGTTGAAAGAAAGCTTATGGTGCAAGAATTTAGTCTAGGAAAGACTGTCTTTCCATAGAGATGTTTCCAAATTGTTCTCCTCCTTGAAAACTCTGACATTCTAGATGAGCTGTAGGTCTAGACAGAAACTTTGCACTGTATATTTCCTTCTTAAAGATTTTTCCATGTCAAAAACTTACATTTTCAGAGACACATGGCCCTTTAGCATTCAGGGATATGCATGGTCCAATAGCTCCTGCAATTTTCAGCTCTCTAGAGGTCTAGAACAAGGTAAAAAAAATTGTTTGATTGTTTGTTTTAAATCAAATCAGTCAAATAGAATACACACAGACTAAATCAGTTACTTAGCTTTGATCAGTTACACACAGCTATCAGGGAAGACATCTCTGAGCATCAGATCACCTACTGCTACAATTAGTGAACGTAAGAGAATCTACAAAGTCACGTTTTAATAATGAAGACATATTTATAGTGACCACAAAAGAGTATGAAAATGTTTCTTGCTTAGTGAGAGACTGAGCTCAGCTTCTTTTCTTAACAACAGCAAAAAAAACAAACAAACAAAACAAAAAAAAAAACCAAACCAAAACCCCACAAACACAAACAAAAATCCCTCCACTCACTCCAGTACGGTGCTTCTCCCAGAACAGGCACTACGGCTGACCTCAAACATGAAGAATTTTCTACACCCCAGATACTTAAATTGACTTTTGAAAAAAGAACAGCACTTTTATTTCCCAGTTACTGTCATGCAATGAAACTAATCTCTCACCTTCACATCCAAATTTGCACCAAAAGCCATCCGAAATTCCCCGTTGAACCCTTTGTTAAATACCCGCTGGAAGGTCTGCTTGAAGAGAGAAGTGTTGAAGGAGTCTCCCATCACCATGTGTCCTCTGGGAAAGAAAAAACAACGCACAAGGGAACTGAAGCAACTGGGAACTAGCAGTAAAGCACGAAGGGCACATGCCTCCAACTCTCATGCGTGCAAACACATGCAGAAAATGTTTTAAAGCATGCCTTTGCACAGGTAAAATCCAGATCAAGGAATGCAGGTTCATGGACGCCTCCTCTAAAGTCAGACAAATTAATGCTCCATCTTTGCCAGCTTGCTTTCTCAACTATGTAACTTGCCATCCCTTTAGCTGCCTTAAAAATGCTCGTGTTCCACCAGTTAGAATTATCTCAACCCAGGAAAGAGCTCTGCTCAGCCTGCTTTCCCTGAGCAGGACTGGAACCACCCACACTAAAGGCAGGATGGCTGCACCACTGCAGCACGAGGGCAGGTACAGGGGTCTGTGCTATGCCTCCCCTAAGTGTCTCAGTAAAGCCAGGCCTGATCAGATGGAGCTTAGTAAAGCAACCAAAGCGTCAAACAATCTGTCTTCTGCTTACTGAGCATTAGGTGATTATTTACAAATACCTCACATTTGCTCAAGCCATCCTTTGACTCCCTAGAGACAGCAGATTTTAAATGGCCAATAAGCCAGGCCGAGTCCCCAAAAGGCCCAGTTTAGCACACAGCCTACCTCACAGAGACCGTAACATTTTCAGCAATATGGAACACAGACATTTACCCCTTAGAGATGTCACTTAAAACTACATCCAGGGAAGCCAAGAATCTCTGGAGAAAGTGCAAGTGAGCTGTTAAGCAGAGAAAATCTGGCCCGCACAAGGAAAGCTTCTACCTACCACGCCTGACAGTCTGCTCTTCTGACAGCACTTTAGTCATGCACACACCACAAAGCATGGCATCTTGATCCTATAAATTCTGGAAAGGATACTTGCTATCTCCTAAGGAGGCAGAAGGCATTTGCAAAAGACATGTTGCACCATGCTTTAGAATACCTTTCTCAAAGAAGGACATCGAGTTTTCTACCAGCAGTGCTAATTCACATGCTGTTTTGAGACTTCAGAAATGTGGACTGGGATCAGGTGAGGTTTGCCATATAATTCCTGGCAAATTCAAATCACAGTTTAGAATAAAATGATAAAAATCTCACCCTTTTGCCCTGACAGCAAACTTAACTGCTTTCTGAACTGTTCTCCCCCTCAAAAAAAAAAAAAACAAAAAACCACAGGTGTCAACTTTGTGCTCTCCTGCTATGAACATACCCAGTGAGGTTTGCACAACACTTCATCTCTAGCAGTCCAGTCTGATCCAGGGCGCAGGCGTAGATGTCGATGCAGTGCCCGTTGGCTGCGGTGCGATTAGCCAGAGTCTCGTAGTGCTGGGGAAAACACACACGGTGTTTAGGATGCTGCAATGGGCAGTTTTCCCACTGGTCTCCAGCTGAGGCCAACATGTGAAACACAAGGTACGAATGAAGCAATTACCAGTGCTGTGGTAACTAAACAGCGGTTTGCTCTTACAGCTCTGCTGGAGCATGTTTCTCCCTCCTAGGATGTTTGCACTTGGATAAGCTTGAGTTGCATGTCACAAATACAGAGAGAGCATGAATTGTGTGGGATCTCTGCCTGTGATAACTTAGTGGAAACCCAAAGGTTTCCAGGTGATAGTTAAGAGAACATGTGTCATACTGCTTTCTCTAAGCTGACGGGCACATTTCAAGTCTGATATTTTTACTATTTTAACTATTGTTTCATACGTCAAGAAGACAAAGGAGGCCTTCTGGAAGCAACCAATTCTTGGACAGGTTTCCTCCTCCCCAGAAGAAGATACAGTGGTGTTGATGAACAAATTCTCCACCCACCAGCAGCTAAGAAACAACACTGAAGTATTTATTTCTCTGAGAAGGCACAAGACTGTGCTGAACAAGTAACTAAGTCTTTTTCACCCTTCCCTTGTCCATTTTCACAATTTAACATACACAAAAGGCTCAGGCACTTCAAGGACAATCATGCAAATATCTGGACATACTGTTCCAAATCAAGAGAATGGATTATGTTTGTTCCCTGGGGAAGGACACTGGGCAGCTGTTAACATAGCAGTGTATGTAAATTTCTGTTATATCCTTTCCCCCCAATTAGTGTTCTGACACAATATTTACTTTTTGTTTTTAAACACACCCAGCAGGCACTAGCACCTACTTTGGTGGCCTTCTTCATGAACCTTGCATTGTCCTTCTCTATGTCATGCCAAGAACGGATGGGTGTTTTCAGTTCATCTCCCACCACCATGCCCGGTCCTTGTGTTGGTGGCCCACCTGTAAACAGCATTATTCTGGCCCCTGTGTTTGGAAATGTGCCCTAAAATAAAAATAAAGACTTATATCAGAGGATGTGGGGATGGAAGGAGAAAAAAGAGAGAGACTGATTAAACAGCAACAATGCTTTCTTTAGAGAAGTGCCTGTATCTGTTTCTGCAATGTCATTAGAGATTTGTCTCTGCTAGAGGCTGCCCTGACAAATAGTGACGCATTTCCTGACAGTCACAGCACTCTCAAGTTTAGACTCAAGCTAAGTCAAGCTTCATGTCTTCATAACAGGAAGCAGGCAGTTTCTGTTTCTTTTACTTACATCTCAGATAAACCCAGTGCATCATATCACCTCCACCAGGCAATACACAAGAATCAGAGACCTTTAAACACCTGCATATTTTACCATTTAGATGTAACCTACCAGCCCACTCTACACCAGCTGATGGTAGCACATGTCAAATGTCAGTAGAGACAAACTGCACCTCTGCAGCCCAATGTAACTGGACCATAGTCCAAGCTGGACTGACACCTGCACATGTCTCAGCAAAAACTGCCAGGTGCTTACTTTGACCAGCTCATCTCTAACAGCACTAAGAGTACCTCCAATAAGCCAACAGCAATTGAAAGAGCTACTCCAGTGGAGCGTAGAGGCCTCTTTCCCTGGGTCACTGGCCATGGGTCCCTTTGCAGTTCTCCAAGAAGATCTGTTAAATTCATGTCAATCTTGTGTACTGGCTGCAGAAACCTGCAAAAGTTAAAATAAAATGTTTTGCTTCTTGTAAGTTTAGAGAAGAAATATAAAGTTCCTCTTTGTTACTGGTGCACATGAATTGCACTGAGATAGTTATCAGAAGCAAAAAGTCACATGGCATGTTCCCTTCTTGCTTCCAAACTTTCCAAGATAACAGGCCTGTGCAAAATAAAAGAACTAATCAAAGCAAGGCATTAGGAGCTGACAAGAAGGCAAAGGCACATAAAGCATAGAAAAGAACTTCAGTGGTGATTTAGTCTACCAAAATGCACAAGAGCTGCCACTGAAAAAGAGGAGCTGAGAAAGAGAAAACTATTCAACAGAGGCAAATACAGCTTTACTGTTCAGGGGTCACTGCTTGACTGTCAATTATTTTCTGGACTTGCTGGGTCAAGGGTGTAGGAAGTGGTGTGTAGGATTGTTACGCATAGACAAGGCCTCCCATTGGCTGGTCAATCAAAAAGACAGGCCCTTGCTCTGAACCACTCCTGAACAATATGCTTTCCAAAGACAGCTACTCTATGCTTTCCAGGTAGAAATCCAGCCTGAATGGCAATCATGTTCTTGCAACTGCAAAATCATGATACTATAAAAGTCTAATATATGGCCTGCAGCTCTAGTAAATCCCTTCCATACATATCACTTAACATAGGAATGTAACTGTGACAATACAATACCATTTAAATCTTCTTACAAAGACTCCTTTTGGGAAACTCAGGTTTAGAAGCATAACCCCAAAGGGGAATAAAACATCTGCCCTGCTCTTCTGCAGTGCTGGTGCAGCTTACCTGCTTGAAATAGCAGGTTGCTCTGGAGTTTGAAGAGGTCTTCCCTGTTGAACGGGGACAGCTGGCCTTGAAAGCCCAAGCATATCCTAGAGAATAGTAAAGAGGAAGCAAAGGAGATGGGCTATTCGAATGCTAAACACATTATTTGCTGCCAAGCAATATACCCTGAGGCCTGCAATACTGTAGCAATAAATACATGAAAAATCTGTGAAATTATTAATCTTTGCACTCCCATTAGGAATGGATCAATGGGTCCATTATACAAGATACACAAACACTATCTTGGACAAGCTTCCAATGAATTTACAAAGGGAAAAAGACAGGACAGATTTTGGGAGGGAAACAGGCTAACAGTTAAGAGCACTGAACCCTCCTGGCTTCCTGAGAGCCCAGCGTTTGAAAGACCATCAGTGGTGTCAACAGAGCTAACGGGAACAAGTCACTGGCCTAAGAGATGTCACAACATACCTGTATTTGCTTAGCTGTCAGGTCCTTTGTGCCCCTAAACACGTAGCTCTTGGAAATCCCTTCACAGCTCAGCTCATGAACCTGCACCATTCTGCCAAAAGTGATAAGCCCCACCAGAGCATCAGCAGGCAGCAGACTCAGGGACATCTGGAGGGACTCCTTCAGCGCCTGCAAGTCCTCCTCTTCCAAGCATGTGTCGACGACATACAGGAAGATCAATGGCGTCTGCGGACCTCGCTGATGTGGAAAGAGACGGATTCACTAGGTGCATGCATACACCAGGGGACACTTTGGAATGCCTCCAACCAAGGAATAAAATGAACCCCATATTAAGCACCCTGCAGAAATGTCACAAACAAGACAATTCTGGGGGGTTCAAAAGTTGCCTATGGTTCATTTACCTGCACTATATATTCAATTGTTGAAAACTGAGGCATAAGCTCTGCTGGTTGATTGACTTCAGATATGCCTGCATATGCTGGAGGGAACTGAAAAAGAGAACAAAAAATTAGGACAAGGAAGTTGCAGGACAGAAATGTAGGGCCCTCCTCTGAAGTACAGAGGCTGCCCTGCTCGTGATGTGGTTATTTAACTCTTCTATTTACTGCCACTGCACCAACCTAATTAATTCATGATGAGACCCATACCGCTGTTTTCCTAAGCACAGACAACAAGTGGCCAGCAGTATGGACAGCTGCTCAATTCAGTGTAAATAAAAGGTAGGACTAAAACAGCGACTATGCATTAGCTGAAATTCATTTAGCCATGCAACAGCTTCGGATGGCAAAACTCTACTCAAATGTAATGAATTTCACACCTGGCCAGAACAGTAAATGTCAAGTGCAAAAAACGCACTGGAAACACATGGGACAAAATAGCATTTTTATCTCCTTCCTATGCCCTGCATGCTGGTAAAAACACTGGCAAAACTGAACTGAAAACAGACAAGAAGTCAGGTGAAACAGACCCATTACCAAGTACTCTGGCCTGGGTTCAGCAAGAGAAAAAGGCCAAGAGAAGAAATCTAGAAAAGCGAAATTTATACTTAACATCCTTTGCCAGGGGAGGACATCAGTGAAATGTTCACTGAAAAGATGGAAGGGCTGATGCTTTTTCCAACTTACCTGGTTTCTCTGAAAACAGAAGTTACAAGCCCAGAGCTTGGCCCGATAATCAACTTGGCTGCAAGGGAAAGATGAGGCGTTAGTATAGCCATAGGAACAACTACAGTGCAGCTTCACAACTGTCTGTGCTGGTTCACAGCACTGAGGAAGAAACAGAGTATCAGACACTCCAACTTGAACGACAAGAGTTTTAGGGATTCAGACTCTTCTTCTATGGCCAGGAAGTCCATTTGCTGATCCAGCCCTGTCACTTCCAGGCTTGCCAGTGACAGACCACTGAGAGATCTCCAGAGTTTAGCCTCTGGCAGAGAAAGCCTTGGGTCTAATCATTCTTTCACTACACTTGGGCTTATCTCAGTCGTCTTACTGTTTGTGCAGCTGTAGCACACAAGTACTCCAGTCACAGAGCCCCAGGAGCCATTCACCCAGATCCTGTGCAAACACTGACCAAACAGGATGTTCCCTGCCCCGACAAGTTTACTCTCCTCAGCCTGTTACAACATCCTGTAACTGCTGGTGCAGTAAAGCCTGGCCATGTTCCTACTTCTTGGGCTTGATCTCCTTTTACTTCTTCTTACTGGCCTTCCCTGCTTTTTCTCAGCTCAATGCTATGCTCCGAGTATGTATGATCATCATATGATTTTGGGACTGAATCATAGAATGGTTTGGGTTGGAAGGGACCTCAGAGATCATCTAGTTCCAACCCTCCTGCATGGGCAGGGACACCCTTCACTAGAGCAGGTTGCTAGACCTGAGACTGAGATTATTCATCTTAAATTTTCAGCACAACTTCAAAGAAAACCCTGATGCTCATACTGGAACTAACCTACAAACAGCAGGACGTGTAAGGAGCAGGAAACCAAGTGAACATCAGACAGAGAACAGTATCAGTATAATTGGCATCTTTGCTTATTTTCAGTTTCCTCATTCACCACAAAACTCTCTGGGATGGTAAAAGGATTTGCCATTTCCATATCATCTCCGCCTTAATAGCCTCCCCAAAGGCAATTCTTTCTCCTCTGGCTCTAGCAGCTCTAGTAACGGGCTGGAATTCAATGTATCTCATTAGCCACGCATGGATTTTAACAAACCCACTACATCTAAATGAAAGAGGCTGCCAGGCACCAGACAGAGAAAAAAAAAAAGGGAACAAGGAAGTAGTGAAGTTCAGATAAAAATTAGGTATTACCCAGCCTCTTTTAACATTCCCAACCAAGAAATTCATACCAGAGTGGGTTGAGCACTGCTTTGCAAGTCGGTCTGCTACAAAGCACCGGTTCATACTGCACAGGCGGCAGGTCAAGACGCTCCTTCAGTGGGGTCAGAAGACAGGCCAGGGGGACAACCATCCTTGTGGCCTCCAGCCTGCTGGAGGGCCACACGTTCCAGCTGAAACGCACTCCATCACGCTCCTCATTTTGCTGGATGAACTCCAGGTATGTTGCCATGGGACTGCAGAAGCTCTGAAAGGATGTAAGCAACACACGTTCAGGCAGCGGTCACCTGTTTGGACAACGGTCCTGCAAAGGAGATCAGCAGGTCAGCTACATGTAGGCACAAGACACTGCAGGACAAAGCCAATATGTTACAGTGAGTTAATCCCATTATCAAATGAACCATGTGACTACACTAATCTCTTCTCTCCACTGCTCTCATCAACATCCCAGACAATTAAAACACACCACCAAATCCAACAAAGAAACAAGGAAATCTGACACTCAAAGCCAGAATGCAAGGGTTTTTTTCTTGTGATCCACATTTAACATCCCAATACCCACTCAGCCTCATGCTGGCCTGAAGGCAATCCTGTCTGACTCAGGTCAGTAAAGGAAAACGGGTCAGATTTGCAACACATCAGGTTTTTTTAGCCACCTTCAGCTAAAAACCTTTGGGAGAAGAAAAGGAGGCCACGTCTGAGACCAAAACAGTCATCACAAATGTCATCTGGTTGCCAGCCTGACCTGCTTACAGATGGAAAGGAGCACAAGACAAAAAGGTCAGAAAATGTCTTTGGTGATATTAGACACCCTCTGTACATGGCATCATGTCCCAGGTGCAGTAAGGGAAGAATTAAAGAGTCTAGCAGACTTCAGAAAAAATGTGCTGTTCAAGGAGGGATATCCCCAACACATCAGAGAAGTCATTCTCTGTATTGCCTTACTAAACTCTTCAGAGTAAGATGTGAACAAGAGCTCCCAGGCCACCGTCACCTTTGATGTCTCTGAGAAAAGGAAGGACAAGCCTACCAAAAAACTCACTCATTGAATCCTGCCCACAAACCCCACACAGCACTGACAGCAACTCACAGAGCCAAGTGCAGCAGCACCATGACCCACTCTAGTTGAGGAAACTCACAGGTTCACCTGTGGCTGCAGATGCTCCAGAATTACCTTACTCCTGGTCCTCACTGCAGATGGAAGATTCAGAAAGGCCACAGGCATGAAAAATCAGAAGCATCACCTCCCCCAGAGGAGGAGAAGTTCTGATGTAACATTTTCCTACAGATCTCCAAACTCCTCGACATTTTCTTTGTCCTTGCTATTAAGGATGTAAATCAAGCTCATGGGGAATTGCCCTGTATTTCCACCCCCACCTCTGGACAGACAAACAGAAGGGTTCAGTGGGTCTCTGGGTAAAAGTTAGAGCTGAGCCTCCTTGTAAAAGCACACCTGGTCATGCACACCAGGACAGCAAGAAAAACACCTGACACCTCAGGTATGCAGCACAACTGCAGTGTAAATTTACTTCATGGTCCCCCAACCACAGCCCAGCACCACTCCCCTGACGCAGGCGAAGCCCTGATTGCCCGGACAGTTTGGCACGGGCTGTGGCCCCGCTTTGGGGCCAGGACAGCAGGAGGGGAGGCGTCCCCACCCCAATGAGGGCTCTATCGGGCTGGGTGCCTGCCCAATCTGTCAGCCTCCCGCCAGCACGGGGGCCCCCCAGCCCCAGTCCTGCAGCAACCCCCAGGGCCCAGACGGCAGCGAGAAGGTCCCAGATCCCCGTCCAAAGCCTCAGCAGATGAGTGACGGTGGTACTCCATCCTCCACGTGAGATCTGCTACAGGGCACACTGCTGACCCCTGCTCCTTCCAGCAAAGCTATAGGCAATGCTGCTGCTTCCGACCGGCGCTGTCGGGAGCGCTACAAAGGAGCGTCACAGATCACCCAGGTGCTGCGCTTGGCACAGCTACAGGGAACACCACAAATCCCCAACCCTCCCCCAGGAAGCGCACAGAGACCACCACGAGACCCTAAGCAAAGCCACCGCGGCCACCTCTGACCGCGGATCCCCGGCATCGCCGCAGGGTACAGCACTGGCCCCCCACATCGCCACAGGTGGCACTGCTGACCCCCAGGGGACACGGCTGACCCCTGTGGGGCACTGCCAGTCCCCAGCACCCTCAGCACAGCCCGGGGGGGGGGGGGGGGGGGGGGCAGACCCCCGACCAGGGCAAAGGAAGCTACAGGGGATGCTGCTGAGCCCCCGGGGACCCCCCGCGGCGCCCACCTACCCGCGCCGCGCCGCTCCCCGCCGCCGCTCCCTCCCGGCAGGCCCCGCGCGCCCGGCAAGGCCAGCTCAGCGGTGCGGGGTGCCCGCAGGCAAGATGGCGGCACCAGCACGCCCCGCCCACCCCCGGGCGAGGCTCCGCCGACATCTTGGTTAAGGGCACCCTCCGCGCCGTTCTGAAAGAGGGGAAGCGGCGTGACCCTACCAAACATGGCGGCGCGGCGGCGTCAGGGAGGACATCTTGACTAAGGGTGCCAGGCGTTGGAACGGAGACACACGGAGTGCCCCTACTGAATATGGGGGGCGGGGGAAGGCGTCGTCTTCCCGCACCGGCTGAGGCTGAGGGATGGGGGCTAGTGCTTCTGTTTTGGGTTTTGTTGTTTTTAATAAAAACCTGCAAGCCCCAAGCAGCCTCATCTTTGCCACAGTTTCTGCCTCACCAGACCAGGGCCACCTTCCCCCAGCACGGCTCGCTGGCTCTGGGCAGCGTGCCCGGCCCAGCTGCGAGGCTGCCCAGGCCGGCAGCGGGGCACGACTGGAAACGGGAAAGCACCGACGCAACGTTGGCCTGCTTTGGGTTGCCCTGAGGACCCGGCACATTGCACCAAAGTAAAAACCGTAAACTTAAGAATTTAGAGACAATTTTATGATTGCCTAAGCACACAGGAATATTACAGACGCTGTCTCAGCTGCTTTAAAACAGCAAGGTGTAAAAATAGGCTTAACAAAGGAAATAAAGGAACTTGTGGTCAAGAAACTGCAGATTATGAAGACCAGTAATGTTGCTGTTACCTTAATAAAATAGCTTGAATCCTAGAATATTATTTTAATTTTAGTTTAGAATATGATTTTGATTTTAAAATGGAGTTATAACAGCTATGAGAATATAAAGCACACTAAGGCCCTTAGGAATAGGTAGCTAGTATGGTGTGTGCCTTGAACACTGTACGAATCGTTATGGACTCTGAATTAAAGCAGTGGGTACTGGTTATGGATCTTGAGTCAAAACAATAGGTACCAGAAGATACTGGGTTTGGTTTGGAAGATCAGGCAAAGAAGAAATGAGCATAGGCCAAAGAAAGAATGGAGTTCAATCAGCGGACACAGTGAGGAAGACTATTAGCGACCACCAGAGGACCCCCATCCCACATAACCACGCATGCGTTAGAGACATTTGCATATGATAATGATCTCCAGGAAATAACATGAATATGCTGATCATTACCCTCCCCTCATTCTATTCAAATCAATCAATAAAGATGACCAATGATTTCTACAGAGTAGGAATATAGGTAAGGTGAGGAAACTGAAAGACAATCGTTATTAAAGTCAAACTAAACTTTATTAATTTTGTTGATCTTATGTAACCATGACACTGCTGAAAAAGTATATAAATATGTTGTGCTTTGTACCTGTCAGTGAACACATCTTTGGTGGAGCTATCCCCCGTGTTCCCCAGAGCTGGAATAAAGTGCCTGCTTATCTTCTTTGTGTAGATAAGTTCTATTCGCAATTGCGACCGCTGACAGTAAGGGCATACTGCACATGCCCAGGGTGCCCCTGAAGACCACCAACAACCCCTGAAGAAGACCCCTGAGGACTGCAAGCACATGTGTAATTAGTATGCAGATATTATAATAAGTTCCAGGAAATAGAATGCCTGTGTATGTAACAGGATAATATAAGCCTTGCTTGATGAGACGTTTGGTGTGCACACTTTTGAGACACGAGTCTGCGTTGAGTCCAGCACTGCAGCACTGCAATAAAGAATGCCTGCCTTTTAAAACTTCAAATTAAGTCTTAGAGGGTTTTCTTGACTGATTTTACAGTATCAGCAGAAATAAAATGGGGAAAAGTGACGGACCACAGAGCAGAAAGGGAAGAACTGATAACCAGGGAGAGGGGAGCAGACAGAGCATGATGGAGAACAGAAAAAAAGTAGCAGCAGGTTACAGGGAAGAAGAAGGAATTCAAGAACAGGGACTGGGAACTGGACAGAGAGACATGCAGAAAGACAGCCAAATAGTGTGGGGCCACGGGACAGAGAATGTGGAATTAAAACACAGAGAAAGGGAGCCAGTCAGAGAGACTCCAAAGAAAAATTCCACATAATCTACCAGATGCAGAAGTAGAAATTAAAAAGTGGGGACAGGGAGCCAGACAGAAAGAGATGGAGATCGCAGGGAATAGTACTGCATGCAGGAAGAAGAGGGAGGGATTAAAAAATAGGAACAGGGATCCGGACAGAGAGAGATGAAGAAAAGACAAATAGTAGCCTTGGGCTACAGGTCTGAGAGGGAGAAATGGAAAAGTAGGGACCAAGAACTGGAAAAAGGTGAGACTAAGAGCAAATCACAATAGGCCACAGGAGATAGAGGGAGGAATTCCCACACCGATTCCCACCTCTCACTCCTGAACTTTGGCCGCTCACCCACCCTGCCTCTGCTGTTTACAGTTGCCAAGCTGGGGCTTGCGCGGCACGTGTAACACACAAACAACAGGGGAGGCTTTTTACTTCACCAACAGTGCTTGAATACTGAAAAATAACTGCTACTTCAGCCCCCTAGTCAAGGCTCACTCTGCCTGAGCCAGCTCCAGTGCCAACATCCCACTTCGATCATGGCTTTCCATCTTCAAATTAAAACAAAAACAACAAAAAACAACAAAAAAACAACAAAACAAAAAAACAAAAACAAAAAAAAAAAAAAAACCCCAAACCAACCAACCAAAAAACCAAAACCCCAAACCGGTAAGGTAGTCGTACTGCACCAGTCCTATCTTCCCTCTGACACCACTTACTGACCCATCTTTTAACAGAGCTCCACTCGCATCTCCATCACTATTTGGTGCACATCTCATTCCTCTGCACCTGAAAAAAATTATTCAACAAGTGACCCAGATGCTGACTGATATCTTAACAAATCCAGAGCTCTTGATTTCATTTAGGAATACCATTTAGAGTCCAACTACAGCCTGCCACTAAAAAACCAAAACCAACCCCCACACCAAATTGCAAGCCCCACATCTACAAGCCTTAACACCTGGCAGATTCAACCTGCTTCACTGCTGATTCCCACATGGCTCCAATCATCTCCATCAAACACTGCGGAAATGACTGTCCCTACAGCCTGCCAAAGGCTAGTCGATCTGAGGTGGGTGTACAAACGCTGCCTAAATGGTCTAAGCGTATCAACATATTAACCAAGCATTCCTATTGCCATTCCACCTACCCCTGACTCTACACCCCTGGGCAGAGCAGGTCCGGGACAAGCACACACATGCACAGACCAGCACTACACGAAACATGCTACAAACAGTGTGATTCAAAGCTGAGAGAAAACTCTCAGCAAGATGAATGACTTCTGGATGGGAGATGCTGTCAGGCAACAAGACCTGGACGGCTGCAACCATGAGGTGAGGAGGCTCTCTGGCAGCCTCAAAAAGAGTCAAACGTCATGGCCCATTACAAGAAGTTACTGAGATGATGAAGGTGCAAGATGACTGGCTTCAAGACCTAAGAAGGTGAGGATACAGGGAAGAACTCCCAGTCAAAGAAAATGGACACCTAGAGAGCAGAGCTGATGACACAGCCTGAAACAATGCTGCAAAAGAGAACCAGCCGGAAACTTCCTAGACTGATCCATGCTTTAAGCCTGTAATGCAAGAACAAGAAGCACTCTACTGCCCCTGTGTCCTGGTTTGGGCTGGAACAGAGTTGGTGTTTCTTTTTGGTAACTAGAACAGTGCTGTGTTTTGGATTCAGCATGGGGTTTGGTATGAGAAGAATGCTGATAGCACACTGATGTTTTCAGCTGCTGCTGCGATTCCAAGGACTCTCCGACTCCCTGTGTCCTGCCTGTGCGCAAGGGCACAAGAAGCAGGGAGGGAGCACGGACAGAGCACCAGACCCAAATTGGCCAGTGAAATATTCCATACCATGGAACGTCATGCTCACTATAGAGAGGAGGGGTGGTTGGGAAGGGGCTCACTCTCTCTCTAGTCTGGGATTGCGATTGCGGGATCTTGGTATTTTGGGATCGCTGGCTGGGAACGGGCTGGGTATTGGTCGGTGGGCGGTGAGCAATTGCACTGTGCGTTGCCCATTTATATTTTCTATTACTGTCGTTGTTTTCATTTTATTACCATTATTAAACTGTTTCTATCTCAACCTGCAAATCTCCCTTTACCCCTCCAATTCCCTCCCCCATTCCCAGGTTGGGGGGGAGGGTGGGTGAGTGGCTGTGTGGTGTTCGGCTGCTGATGAGGCTCAAACCACGACACCCTGTGCAGATGGGGACAGGCATTCGAGACCCTAGGGAGGGCACCCAAGGCACATGCCATGCTCCTTGAATGCAAAGATCAGTGAAGACATTGAGACGTGAGGAAGGTCTAAGACACAGAAGATGTACAACACAAACTACACAACAACACAGACACAGGCTGGAACTACCCTACCTGGCACATGCTAGCGCCATGCTGAAAAGTAACCCCTTCCCTTTACCAGCCCACAGGAGACTCCTCCTGGACAGCCCTGTCCCCTACCCCAACTTTAAAACCCCTCCAAACCTTGGCATCCCCCGAGAGCCCTCTCCCAAACACCAGTCCCTCAACTTAGCTTTCAGAGGGCTGGGGATCTGAACCCATCCTCAATAAAAACCACGTCAGCTAACCGGGATATTCCTGCGGACGCCAGGTTCCTCTTCATCATCTGCACAAAACCGGTGCAAGCAGTTAGCATTGTGTCAGTTGACACAGACCTCCTCCACAACGCCCTCCCCCTCAAAAGCAATGGGGATTTCCACTCACCTGCTCCGCACCAATTCCGGTGTCGGACACTGGGGCCATCATCACTTGTGGCACCTACGGTATCAAAAGGCAAAAAATTATGGTAGCACTTGAGAGAAATCACCAGCCCCATGCTCCCCCCATTCTACTACCTCAGCTCACCTCAAATGCTCATCCAATTCCACAGGCTGCCTGCATGGCACCTGCAAAACCAGATAAATGTTTAATTGAGCTGCCACACGATTCTCTGCACTTAAACCCCAACCTGGCCAACAACTGTCTCACCTTCTCGGACCGCTCCTCAGTGCGCTGCTTCACCCCTCCGAGGCTGCTCGTGGCACCTGAAAAAAATGAAGCAAAAGACATGATGAAATGCTGCCCAAAACCACAGCTTGCCCACACCAGTTGGCAAATGGCTCGTCCCTCTGCATCTGCAAATAGAATATTGAACAAGTCACCCAGACGCTGATCAATAGCTTAACAACTCTGGAGGTCAAGGTTTCAAAATAGAAGAGTAAATGAAAACAGACATAACATTTTAAAAGCCATGCAATTAAGACAGCAAAAAATTTAAAAATAGGGTCAGCAAGCTAAATAGACACATAGGAAGTACATTTTAAAAGCAACAAGGTACATGACAGACATGAAATAAAACATAGAGGTAGGGAGCTTGATAAAAGTAGACATAGAAACAAAATTTGAAAATCTAAGGGATTAAGAGAGGAGATAATTAAAAATAGGGAGAGCAAACTAAATGAATGGAGATATGACAGAAAATGTTAAAAACGAAGGCACTAAGGAAAGGCAAGAAATTATTAAAAGACAGTGAAATAAAGACAGCGAACAGGAGAAAAGTAAACAAAATCTTAAAAGCAATGGTGATTAAGAAAATAAGGAAAAAAATTAAAAATAATGATGACAAACTAAAAGGGAGATGTAGACAGAAAATGTTAAGAGCAAGGGCACTAAGGAAAGGCAAGAAATAAAACCAAAGACATCAAAGGGAATAAAGTAGGCGCAGAAGGAACATTTAAAAAGCGATGAGCATTAAGGGAGAAAAGGACAAAAACTAAAAAGTAGGGACAGCAAACCAAAACACATGTAGAAATAACATTTAAAAAGCAACATCAGTATGGAAAGACAAGAAATAATTGAAAAAAGAGACAGCAATATACTATGAATGGGATAAAAGTAGAAAACTTTAAAAACAAAGGGGATAAAAACAAAAGCAAAGGAAATAAATAGAAAAAAAAATGAAAAAACAGTGACAGTGAAAATGGAGCCATAGAAAGAAAACGTAAAAAGTGAGTGCACTAAGGAAAGACAAAAAATAATTAGAAATGCAGATGGCAAATGCGATAAAGGTAGAGAGAAAATTTTAAGAGCAAGAGGGATTAAAGAAATAAGAAATGGTTGCGGAGGGTCGCAAAATAAACAGAAGAAATACTTTAAAATAAAATCTATTTTAAGGACAATCAGTTGTCACTCCAGCAATCAGTAATACGCATGAGACGAATGTCTGTGAGAGGAAAACTATTACTGCCCAGTCCATCCCAGGAAGTCCTAGGGTTTGACGACAACCCAAAAGGCGCAATCGCCCATCTGAAAGTGAGAGCTCCCAACCTTGAGGCGTTTTCCTTGGGCCGTGGCCCTACCCGAGGGGAGAGCGCTGGACTTCGTGTGGGTGGGTGCGCCTGCCACCAGGGAGAATTTAAAAATAAGAGATGGTGAAGTAACACGGGGATGGGGAAAAGCAATTTATAAAGCAACGTGGGAAAGCCAGGCAGGATATCACTTTTAAAAATGCCAAGGGAGTGAAATTGGGCATAGAAGGTAAATTTAAAAAGCAGCACGTTAGGGAAATATTAAATAATAGGGAATGGTGAACGGAAACGGAGTTGTAGGAAGAAAATCTCAAAAGTGAAGGCACTAAGGAAAAGCAAGAACTAATTAAAAACGAAGACATTGAAGGGAAAAAAAAGCCGGCGTAAAAAAAAAAAAAAAAAAAAACCCGACACATTTTAAAAGTGATAGGAATCAGAGGAATGAAGGGGCAAATTAAGCAGGGGCAGGGAAGGGAAGGACAAGCCGGGAGCAGGTGCCGGCAGCGGGGCGGGCGCTGCGGTACCGGCCGCGGGCACCGGGCGGCGGCAGCGAGCGGGGCCGCGCGCCACACCCCCGCGTGCCACGGGGAAAGCCGCGCGGCGACAGGGGCCGCGCCTCGCGCGGGGCCGAACTACAGCTCCCGGCGTGCCCCGGGGAGCCAGCGTGGCCGACGGGCAGCGCCGTGCCCCCGGGACTACAGCTCCCGGCATGCCCCGGGGAGCCAGCGTGGCCGACGGGCAGCGCCGTGCCCCCGGGACTACAGCTCCCGGCATGCCTCGGGGAGCCAGCGTGGCAGCCGCCCCTGCGGCGGGAGGGGCCGCCGCCATCAGCCCCACGGACCGCAGGCGGCGCCCCGTTCCCCGGGCTCCCTCACCGCCCCTCGGCCCCTGCAAAGACGCCACAGAACACTCAAGTGCTACAGCAGTTTCTTGACTAGTGGTTTTTTTTTTTTATTGTTGTTTGTTTGGTTTTTTGTTTGTGTTGTTTTTTTTTTTTTTTTTTTTTAAAAAAAAAACCACACACACACCAACCCCAACCCAAACTTTTTAAAAATTAGTTGAGGCATGACTTCCAAATGCAAATTTTAAGCAACTCTCAGAGCCTTCCCTCCCAGGGCAATGCAAAACCCAAGCCTGGAATTCTCAGTTACTGGCGGCGTGGGAGCACAGAGCTGAGCACGGGGAATTAAACCCCGGGTTACAGGAACACGTGTTGCACACATCCACCCTTACACAACCCACGTGGGCATTTCCACAGTCAGGAGTCCCAGCCGTGCCACGAACATCAAACTGAAAACTACTGCTACGATAGCTTATGAAAGGGGAAGGTGCTATGTAACATTCCCCTTTCCTGACCGGTATTTGGAAAAGGCAAAGAGGACGATACCTGTGACTAAGATTATTAGAAAATAGATATTTGAGGAATAGAATTATTAGGATCAATTTAAACTGTTTTAGCCACTTAACCACTGTGCTGTAGAACAAATACTAATCTTTTGAGGAATAGTTGGAATACCTGTAGGATAAGGAACTCATAAATAATCTTACTTGAGACGGTTTGGCCTTGTAGTGGCAGGCGCAGAGAAACCAAGATAAAGAAGCTGCAAATTAGCGACAAAACCAGACCAGGCCAGCCTTGGAGGACAAGACATATGTGACCACAGGACTGAGTTTGCGCAGAAGTAAAGGTCAACTGGTGGACACAGTGAAGAAAACTACAAGCCTTCATCTGAAGACCCCCGATGACTATCTGAAGACTCCGACTGACATTAACATATGCTAAATGAGTTCCCAGAAAAGTTATGAATATGATAAAAATTCAATGAATATGTGTGTTTAAGGTAGTATAAATGCTTGTTGGTTTCATTTTCACACACACACACATTAGGAGATCTCCCCTGTGTATCCGGCGCTGTAGTAAAGAACACCTGCTTTCTAAAACTCCAAAATTGAGTCTTACAGAGTTAATTAATTACCACTTTCCAGTAACAAGGAAGAAAAGCCCCGCCGCTGCAATCCCACAGATACAGAGCGCAGTGAAATGCAGAGGCACAGCGGCCTTACAGAAACTCTCTAACAAAGTGTTTTATGAAGATGAGCAGCTTGATTTGGGTCACTTTCCCTCACTCCCCTGCCTGTATCTCTGCCATCCTGGCAAGAGCTAGGGAAGCACTACAGTAGTTTTTTTCTGTCTGTGTTAAATCAGGCAAATCTATAAGCCAGTTTACACAGAGCAGGCTTTGGGTGCCCTTTAGTTTTCTGGAATTCCAGAAATAGCTTCCCCCACCACCACCACCCCAGTAATGGAACTTCACTGGGTTTGTGATGCTGCAACTCCAGCACTGAATATAAGATTTGCCTGGAATGCTGAGACTGCAAGGAAGGATGATAACCTTTTAAGATTAAAAATAAGAAAAACAACATGGGAAATATTAAGAAGTTAGATTTGATTTAAGCTGCTGGAGGTGGCATTTTACAATTTTGTAGTATGTAGTTCCTGTGAATTCACAAATAATCCCCTAAGGTAGTGTTAACTTTTCTATTAAGACTCTTTTATTAGTAAGATTTAAAGATTTATTAGCTCCACCTTTATCTCCTTTAGCCTTTGCAGTTACTTCTCTATTTCAAAAAGAGGGAATAATAAAGACACCACCTCAACTATAAACTCTTTCTTGCTTTTCAGTATTTCATAACATCAAAAACCTCACATTGGAGAGGACTGAATAGCTTATTTTTAAAAGTCCAAATTACTTCCAAAGTTTTTGTATCATCATTTTGTATCAACCTGGCATTATGAGAAGAGTGAGAAGTGTTTTGCACAGCACAGTGAATAAAATGTTCAAACTTTCAAAATAAACAATTGTACAAGAATAGACAGCAGAATCATCTTGGGGTGGTTTGGGCACACATTTCCCTTTGTGCACTCTGCTTTCCTTTGTTTCACACCTCAAATTCTGAGTTTTTTAATACTTTCCCTCTCTGCTCCCGTCCTTCCCTTCCCTGGCACAGCCACCATCATGAAAATAGTGGAATTTTCATTAGCACCTCAATTTCACAAAAAATGGTTCAGCAGTCAAGATACCTGCCTGCTGCTTCTACTGACTATTCAGGTCAAGCACACAAACTAGATAATAATGTTATTGCATTGTTCCCTTAGAAAGAGTTTAAAGTGGGCCAAGCAGTAAGAAAAGCAGCAGCATCTGAGTCTACTAATACACAGAACATTCAAGTGTGAACCATTTCTTAAAAAAACACCCCACACCCCAAAAACCACAGCACACAACATCACAAATTATAGTTCAGTATTACAATGTATTATTATGTGCAAAACTCACCATTTACAAAATGAAATACAAACTTGTGCCAGGGGTTTCAGATACATGTCAAACTGACAAAAAATGCTACAGATCTCTGTATGTACATTACACATGCTGCTCATGACATTTTTGTAATCATCTGCCTTATGTTACCCTGCTCACACCAGACGTGAGGAGAACCCCATGTTCCTCTAAAGGGAGTAGCCCTCACTGACTTAGGTAGGGTCCAGAGCGTCACCCACAGCATTGACTATCCTGGACAAATCTACAGAACACACATGTTGAGTATAATTTTATCTTTGCGTAGGTAGGACTGACTTTCACATCTCACCTGCTGAGTAACTTAGAACCATGAAATGCTACAACACATTCTTCAGTCCAAGATGCATTTTGGTGTTGGTGAC